CCCCCTTCCCCTCTCTCCTTCCCTCCCTCTGTTGTATCCAAATCGTCTGAGGCCCTTGATCCAATGACAGGTATGCCGGTATCACATGACGCCAGTCAAGAGAGTCTCACCGCCCACACTGAGGACGATGGACGGAGTACACTGGTCGATGGTGAGGACATTGGTCGATACGTTAAGAAGAGGTTAATGTGTGCTGATATACTAGTTAATGATATCAATTATGATACTAGTACATCCTTTGATACTGAGGGACCTTATAGTCCATTAGGATCAATAGGATCACTGTATGACATACTCCAGGATAATGATACTAATTATAAATATAATAATAATGTGTTACAAGATGAGTCCGCCCCTCACTCTGTTAAAGCCCCTCCCACTCAAATATCTCATTTATTATTAGTTCCTACTAGTCCGACCAGTCCTAAGAGACCCAGTCCATTATTACAATCAAGACAATGGAGGGACAATAATGGCGTCCCTCTACCACCACCTGTTAGACCAAAACCACTGAGGAAGAACCAGACCACTTCAACTACTGATATTGGTGTGTCCATTGGTGTATCTAAAGTAGCTGTAACTGATAGTGGAGGAGCTACTGGAGGAGCTGTACCCAGTGCTAAGGATCTATCAAGTTCTGCTCCTCCTCCAGTACCAATTAAAAAACAAGCTACTAAGCCTTCTCCCCTCTCTCCTCCATTATTTCAAGCTGTTAGGTTACAACCATTATCAGTAACAAGTTCCCTTCATCAGTCAAGTAGAGACAGACCCCTCCCTTATGGACCCAGTGTTGCTTCTTCCACTGATAATAAACGTGTTCTTGTTCCTGTCAAGTTCTCATCTCCCAAGAGGTCATCAGGTGATACAGTAAAGACTACAAGAGGAGGTTCCTCCATACAAAACAGAGCAACTCAGAGAATGAATAACTTTACTGGTGAATTCAATACATCACAAGAGAGTGACGTGTAACAATTGAAGTACCTCATGCTCTATTACATGTACACACACACATTATTGTTGATTAATAATCATGTTTGTTAATTTTTATTAAAAATTTTTAATTCATTTTAATGATAAGTAACCAGTTAGTTGTACAATGATTGCTGCCTTACATGTTGCTTTGAAGGGTCAGTGCTTTATGATCAGAATTCAGAAATGGCTCAATCTCTCAACAAAGCACACAACAGGACCTTAAGGGTTGACATGTTATAATTCACATCTCAGCTCTAACAATGTGTCAATGTTGATACTGTATATCTGCTGCTGGGTAGCAGCTGTATGGCATTCATTCACTTCATCATAGCTGACATTAAAAGAAAAAATTATTTTTATAAATCAAAGAGTGAAAGAAGAATACAAATAACAGAACAAAGCAATACATAATAATAATAATAATATACTATATTATTATTATTATAATACTAATTTTTTAATAATAATAATAATTTTTAATAACAATAACAATAATAATAAAAATGGTACAATATTAAGTTAGAATAAAAAGAGAAAAGGAGAGAAAGGGAAAGTCAGAGATGAAAGAGTGAGAGAAAAAAGAGCACAAAATAAATACTGATGGAATGAATAATTGTCAGTACAAATACTAATAATAACGATAGCAACAATTAATAGCAATAAGTATAATGTCTGCATGTATAATGTATTAGAGTATCATGTGTGTATGCATTCAATCAAAACTCAATGTCAATGTATTGTTACTTATATTTTCTACGGGCTCTATCTGATGACAGGAATCCCTCCACATCAGATTTTGTTTTTCCAAGCTCCTTCGGATAATCTTCACAAACTTCAAGTATGTTCCTCCAGGTCACATCATTATCAGACTCTATCCATCTCTCAAAGACTAGTATGAGCTTATCAGAGGCTGACAGTGGACTATGCAGTAAATCATTCACTTCAACACCAAGTGCAATACCAATAGTTGAATAATGGGAAGAAGAACCTTTGAATAACCTATGGAGGTCACCCTTTTGAGGGCTCTTTTCCAACAGGGGTTCTGTGTTAATAAATAAATAATAATAATATTATAATAATACTTTACTTTCATCTGATGACTG